CAAGTACCAGCGTAACTGGACGGTGCTGCCCACCCAGAGTCCCATCCGCACTCCGGAGCCGCAAGAGCTGCGCGAGAACGTGCCGCTGGCGTTCGTGGATGCCCCCAAGGCGCCGGTCACCAGCGACTCCTCCACTGTACATAGACCCATAGCCATAGCCCAGGTTGCCCCACCGACAACTGTGGTCGCTCCCTCCCGGGAAAGGGAAAGGGAGACTCCGAAGCCACGACCACAGCTGTCGGTGCCCATTATAGTTGAGGATCGATCGGGTCCAGTAACGATGGCTTTTCAACCGCTAGACGAACTGGTGCGACCGGACCAGGCCCTCACGCCCACCAGGCCGTACACCCCGTCGCTGACCAACAAGCCGGCTCCGATTGTGCCCTTCTACCAGACGGAGGAGAAGCTGGTCTTTGAGGAGTGCGCCGCCTCACATGCCAGGAACTACAACGAGCTGTGTGCCTCGCCCTTCCCGGACAGGACACGTTCCCCGGCTCCGGGACCACCACCGAATCCGCTGAATGCCATTCGAGCTCCTAGGATGAAGGAACCAGAACCGAAGTCGACCATTCTGTCCGTGTCCGGAGCTCCTCGCCTGCAGACGGGCTCCATAACCACAGGTCAGAGCTACCAGGGCCAGCTTTTGGCCCACTCAGAGCAGAGCTCGCAGTCGGCCAGCCAGAGCTTCAGCCAGCAGCCGGAAAGGATCACGGAACAGAGGGTGGGCAATCTGAGCATCCAGCAGAGGGAGCAGTCCTCCCAGTTGCAACAGCAAGCTCAGTCGCAATCCCAGAGTCAAACACGCAGCCAAGTGGGCAACACCCAGATCGAAAGACGTCGCAAGGTCACCGAGGAGTTCGAACGCACCCAGAGTGCCAAGACTATTGAGATCCGTACTGGCTCCCAGTCGGTCACGCAGTCGAGGGGTCAATCTCAAGCCATCAGTCAGAGCCAGGCTCAATCGCAGGCTCAATCTCAGGTTCAATCACAGGTTCAATCTCAGAATCAATCGGACACAGAGCGTCGCTCCTCCTACGGCAAGACGGGATTTGTGGCCAATCAGGCCAAGCGTCTGTCTTGTTTGGAGCAGGAGATCAGCAGCCTGACCAGCCAGTCCCAGGCCATCAGTGCCAGGGCCTCTGCCCTCGGAGAGGGCTGCTTCCCCAACCTGAGATCGCCGACCTTTGACTCGAAGTTTCCACTCAAGCCGGCGTCCGTGGAGTCCACAGTGCCTGGCTATGGAACAGCACCGGCAGCCACGGACAAGCTAATGGCACCACCACCGGGATTCCTGCAGCAGCAACAGCAACAGCAGCAACAGAGATCCGCCTTTTCCGGCTACCAAGCCACCACTTCGGCAGTGCAGCAGAGCTCATATGCGAGCAGCTCGAAAGCCACCTCCTCATCGCTCTCATCCTCATCAGCATCTGCTTCAGCATCAGCATCAGTCGCGAGATCGTCGCAAAGTCTAACCCAAGCTTCTGCTATTACTACCACCACTAATAACCAGGCCACCACGGCCTTCAGGAGCAGCAATGGCAGCACCATCAAGCCTAATCCGGCCTCACGGCCATCCATCGCTTCCATCACAGCTCCAGGATCAGCCAATGCTACTGCTCCAGCTCCAGTTAAAGCCATTGCTCCGTTGAAAGCCCCGATTGCTCCGAAATCGGTGATAGCCAACGCCTTTAACGCTGCTGCTCCACCTGCGCCTGCGCCCGCTGTCTTCCCGCCAGACTTGGGTGATCTGAACCTGAACTCTAATGTGGATGATTCTGTAGGTGCCGGTGCTGGAGGAAAGAGCGCAGGAGCCTTCGGAGCCACCTCGGCGCCCAAGAGGGGCAGGGGCATCCTGAACAAGGCGGCCGGACCAGGAGTCCGCATCCCGTTGTGCAACAGCTGCAACGTGCAGATCAGGTGAACAGAGCATCCCAGAGTTTGTTGTGTTCCAAGTTTGATGTTGTGTTTTGAATGATCCTAACCCATGATATCTTAGCCAAAGATACCTGACATTCTCCCCTATTAATTCTTGTTATATTCTTTAATCTAAGAGTTACTTGTTGGGATCAGCTTTCTACTGAAGAGCTTGATCCCTGATACCCACTAATTACCTTGCCACTAATCTAACCCGCTCGCTTTTTTGTGTTCTGTTTTCCCCCGTTTTCCAGTTCCAGCTCCTCCAGGAGCTACCAGCGCTGCCAAGGTCTCTAATCCGCATGCTAATCCCCAAACCTATGCCACCTTACCACGCCCCCATCCACAGGCAACTGACTTACCCGCCCAGGAGGTGGAAAAAGAGACTCCCCAGGAGACCGATGCCACTTCCATGCTGGCCGAATCCGTTGGAAAGATAAACATGGGCGACAAGACCCATGCGTTCATGCAGGAAGCCGGCAAAATCATCACCAACATGTTGGAGGCACGATTGGCCAACAATGGTGGACAGAATGCTCCTCTTTCCCATGCGGGAAGTTCCTTGAGTCTTCGCAGCAATAGTAGTTCTAATCTCTCAAAGAGTCCGATGATTGTACGCAAGCGCCTGGATCTCGATGATTTCAAGAACCTGGATCCCACCCAGCCGGTGGCCCTGCAGCCTGTAATAGCCGTACATTCTCAGAAGGATCTTCCCACTGAGGTGGGAAGCCAAAAGGCACAGCCACAGGTTCCACGGGTGGAACAGGCCCTGCAGATGGAACTGCCTGCCCAGCATCCCATGAGCAAGATACTCGATATCTGTGATGGTGGCAAGGCCATAGATACACCCGAACCGGTTGCCTTCAGGAACAATTTGAGACGCACTGGAGCCACTCATGCTGCTGATAGGAGATCCTACATAGAACCCAAGCAGGGAGTGAACAGTGGGCCCAATGGACCCTCTGTTGAAAATCAGAATGGCAATCAGAATGGAGCTCAGAGTGTTAACCCGAATGGCAACCAGAATAGCTCCCCCACCTACAGCGTCTCTGTCAAAGCCCTGGGACCTCACAGTGAGGATCAGACAACCATGTCGGAGGAGAACGAAAGGGCAGTGAGTCAGTTGCTCAAGGAGGGTAAGCGACCCGTGTGCTGTCAGTGCAATAAAGAGATTACCTCGTGAGTACAGCTTTGCCTTTGTTCGTTACTCTGTTTTAGCTTTATGAATATTATTTTAATTCCCTTGCTAATTTGATTTTATCTCATTTCCGCAGAGGACCCTTCATCACGGCGCTGGGCCGCATCTGGTGCCCGGATCACTTCATCTGCGTGAATGGCAACTGCCGTCGTCCCCTTCAGGACATTGGATTCGTTGAGGAGAAGGGCGATCTGTACTGCGAGTACTGTTTCGAGAAGTACCTGGCTCCCACGTGCAGCAAGTGCGCCGGCAAGATCAAGGTGGGTTCCGGACTTACTCGAACTCATTTAAATACCCCTCATCATATATATATTTATCCTCCAATAGGGTGACTGTTTGAATGCCATTGGCAAGCACTTCCATCCGGAGTGCTTCACCTGCGGCCAGTGCGGCAAGATCTTTGGCAACAGGCCCTTCTTCCTGGAGGATGGCAACGCGTACTGCGAGGCCGACTGGAACGAGCTGTTCACCACCAAATGCTTCGCCTGCGGCTTCCCCGTGGAAGCTGGCGACAGATGGGTGGAGGCCCTAAACCACAACTACCATAGCCAATGCTTCAACTGCACGGTGGGTATTCAAATATATAAGTTTTCATTTATTTCGATTTATAATATCTTATAACCCTACCCCTAACAGTTCTGCAAACAGAACCTGGAGGGCCAGAGCTTCTACAACAAGGGCGGACGTCCCTTCTGCAAGAATCACGCGCGCTAAACCGCCGACCAGATGATTTTTTTCGACTTCAGGGATCACGCACACTAACCAACACCAACAACTATCTATCACAATCCTCGGATTACTTGGATACGGGAGCTCGCTCTCAATTCGTATCTAATGCTTATTATTGCAATTGTCAGAGTGAATAATGCGTAACTATTATTATTTCTATTTGTTTTTGAATTGTGCACACAAATGTTATCCTAATTTTAAATGATGAACGAATCACTCAAAATCAAAAACGTAAAAACGTAGCTGCAAACGACACGAAATCGAATTACATAGCTAGCAAATTGTATGCCCCACACAAACAATACACACACACCACTATTATTTATTCAAACATCGTAATCGTATAATCATAACCGAACTACCGATCCCACGCTAAATATGTATGTACTGTGGCCAGAGTTAATTTACTTAGTTGAGCCTGAAAACTGTTGATCAACCCTCAAGCCTCAAAAAGCTAACAAATCGCGCGAGGGGATTTCGATTACCCAATTTAATTCGTCGACGCAATCGGAAGAGTCAGAAATGCCATACAAACGAGGTTGTCAGCAGGCAGTTGCTTACTTAATTTCTAAATTTATGTTGTAAATTATCCATAATTCGATTGTAAATTGTAAATGATCATCAGCAAGTGAATAAATTTCGAAATCTTTTTCGCGTTTAATGGGTGTGTTTTACCTGCTATTGTGGATGTGATGGTCGTAAGCGAGAATCCTAATTTACTACGCCATGTAATGTCATAATCGTTGGCAACTTCCGGTTTGCTGCGCACACGAATTCCGCCGGCTGCCTGAAAGTATGCAACAGTTTTTGTTTTCCGGCCGTGTGGCGTATACACACACACATACTTACTTACTCACCCACACACACACACGCACGCACTTCTACAGCAATTTCATGCTTAACCAATTTTTGTTGGTTTCATTTGAGCCTGGTATTTTATTTTTTCGGCTCTCGGTCTGAGGTGTGAGTGGGTGTGGGTGTATGTTGGGGTGTTAATCGCTGGGACTCCGAAATCCCCAGCATTTCTACCCCTCGGAAAACAAAACTTCAGAGGCCTGACGATGGCAGCAAAATTCACGCTAGATTAAGCAGGATCAGGACGTGCGGGGCATGTGGGCATCTGCCACGCCCTCGTGCGAGAAAGAAAAACAATTTGGGGTTTTGTGGCATTTTTCAACGATTTGTTGGGTTTTATTTCTCATGTTTAGTTTACGTCGCCTTGCACATTACGGTAAAGGACTTTAAGTTAGTTCTCGAGTGTGTGTTCTGTGTGTGTGTGTGTGTCGTAGCTTACATATCATTAGGGGTAGGTCTACCTATTTTTTGTTTTTGTGCGAAACGCATTCAGAAATCGAAATCGACATCGAAGTTCAGTATTCAGTTGGATATTCGTGGTTTCCGAAAGTGCGCGCCAAATTTGTCACCGTAGCGTTCCGTTGCGAGTTATGTATGGTTATATCCCGGGGATACTCATACCTACACATACACTATATACTTAGTTTTTGCTCATCCTCTTCTTCGTTTCTGGCCTGGTTTAGAGTTTAGTTTAGTTGCTAGAAATGCGTTCGAAATTTCGTATTTACAATTCGATAGTTGGGCTGAGCTCAGAGTTTCTCGATTTTAACATGTTTTCATTTGTTCATATTTTTTTTGGATACTTTAATACTTCAATGGGTAGAGGCGTATATGTATAAATTGCAAGTATCTAGAATTCGTAATAACTACGCTGCGCATCTGCTTAATGCTTACAAAAATAAATTCAACACATTCAAGTACAACAAACATCTTATAAGCTAACGCCGCTTACAGATACAGGTTACCGATTACAAGATTACAGATTACAAGTTACGGATTACAGATAGGGGTTACATTACATTCATTTAGGAGCAGCTTGAGTTCCGTACAAATAAATACCTTTGGGTTAACGAGTGTTTGTCGTCCGTAGAATCCAACCGATGGTTCTATGGTTCGATCGCTACAGATGCGCCAATATATCGATCTGATCGAGGGCGCTGGCCTGGCCAGCTGGGTTTTGCGTTTGGGTTTGCGTTTGGCTGTGGGCCGTGCTGCCGGGCGACTGGGAGATGGTCACTATGGTCACCAGGTCCTTGCTTTTGCTCGTGGCCGCAGCTCCGCCTCCGATAGACTCCCTTTCCGGTGCCCGATTGGAGGACTCTATCTCCACGATGGCCGAGGTGAGCAAGGTGTTCGACTGCAGCGCCGTGTAGTCCGGCAATTGCTCCACCACCGACGGCTCCGGCAGCTGCAGATCCTCGTTGGCCAGCAGCCTTCCGGACGGAGCCGTCTCGATGTTCCGCTCACTGCACACGAGGCTGGCGGGAGTGGCGTTTCTCGAGCGGTAGCTGGGCGGCAAACTGTACTCCGATCCGCCCATGCTGCTGCTGATGGTTCCTCCGGCACCGCCTCCTCCTCCTCCCATTCCGGATCGCAGGGTGGTCAGTGGAGCCCTGGAAGTAAGTGAATCAAAGGCATGAATTATTTACACATGAGCCAAAGTCAATCCGGCTCTGTTTGCCCTCTTCGGGCATAAGAAGATGGCAAATATGTTAACCAAATGCACAAATTTGCATCCGTGAGATGGGGTCCCTGCAAACTGGTCTTTCAGTGAGTGTTCTCTATCTGAATGCACTGGGAAATATAAGTGAAGATACCTGGACTTCAGTAGACAATTTTCACTTTAGTAACCACGTTACATTTTCAAGAGTCTACTACTATTCATTTAATCCAATTTTAGAATATGAATTTAATTGTTTAACTGTTCAAAACTTTATATTTCATTAATTTTTAAATAAGTACCATTTGGTAAAGTCACAATTCGAGAAGTTTAATGTATTTTCTATGCTCTGAATGTTTTCTTATAATTTCCCCCTCGAGTACCAAGGCTACTTTTTCTCAGTGTACTCAAATGCTGGCAGATTCATCAGTATGTATGGGATATATAACGACTCTGTCCCTTTTCAAACATATAAGCCAGTGTGTGTTCTCTATATATTCTCATCTTTGTCAATTTAAATAACAAAAGGCCGCTGTGGCAATTGTTGCCATGTGCGCATGGTGATAGGTGAAAAGGAGGGGATTTCCTGGGTAGGGTGGCTTTTGAAAGGAGCTATTTTTAAAGGTGGGGGTTCAAAGGGGGCGAACTAAACCCAAATCACAGACAATTCACACTTCAGTCGGCAGAGCACAAAAGTCAACACTCAAACGCTCATCTGCACATAATGGCCTGCCCAAAAAGGGGGCGTGGCGGTGCTTTTATGGGCGGGCAATGGGTGGGCGTGGCTGGTTGATTTCTCAAAATTCGAGAAGCAGCTCGCACAAATTGTATGGAGCAATTTGGAGTATGTAAAATTGCATTTAATTGTTCCGACAAAGACGCCGGGCAAACGGAAACAGGAAAATAAGTCATCGTGCAGGAATGGTCGAGGAATCGGGCCTATCTATATGTCGGTGGTCTTCTATATGCTGGCCCCCATTGTCTGGGATGCGAAGTGATGTGCTGTGCATAACAGGCAATTTTCGCAGCACTTTGGTCGGCTCTTTGTTTGTTTAATTGACTTGGCCAGCAGCAAGGACAGTTTTCCGTCCTTGGAACGCAGGACCTTTTCCCATTTCCGCTCCCCTACGTCCCTGGGTTTTCCATCTTTGCGGGCTGCTTGTTATGCGGCTTGGCAGGCTCTTCAGAAGTGCGCGCGTGTGTGTAAATATTTTGCAAAATTTTCCAGAATTCTTTGCCAGTTTTTGCCCCTCCAAAACAACACTAACGTCATTTGAATACGCAGCTCTCACTCACACATACACATTAACTTTGCCTTAAAGTATGCTGTGATTTCTTGCCACACACTTTGCATAAGTTTTGCTTTTTGACATACTTCCCCTGGCTGCGTCCTCTTCCTTCCGTTTCCGCTGGCATTTTTGGCTAACCTAAGTGTGCGGGGAAGCCCCCAAATCAGATTCCCCTACTGCCCTTTCTTCCATTTGCATTACACACATTATAAATATTCAAGTGCTGTGAGTGAAGTAAATTAATTTGACATAAATACGTTACGGTTTGAATGGCAATTTTGCAGAGACGACCTGCAAATATTATTTAAATACGAGTTTCAAGCCGCCTTTGTCTCCTTCTCGGGCCGTAATTTGTAGGCCATAAAAATCAACTTTTCTCATTAGCCCAACATTATGCGTTCCGGGCGATAATTATTCCAGCCGGCAGCAACCAGCCACCCGCTTTTCGGAAAAGTCCTTGTCATTTAAATTGCCTTTGTTTGGGACATGTTTTTCTCGAGGGCGGAGCGCAATCAGATTGCTCATATATATTCGGGGAGGATTGGCTTATCTCTTCAATTAGTTGCCGAATCAATTGGCGAGTGTTTGCTGCCATCATCAGGCAATCTTTTGATTCAAGTCATCCCTTCGAATGGTTGAAAATCGAAAATTCCCCAAAAACTTTTCACCCCTCCCCCTGAAAAGCGATGTGTCAATGTTGACACCCTTGGAAAACCGCACAAAAGCCAAACCGCCGGAGCAGAGTCACCCCCAGATCCCAGATCTCGTATATCGCATCCCCAAATGTTCCTTGGTAGTCTGGAAAACATTTTGCGGTTTGGCAGGCGCCAAACTTTGCAAATAACTCACGAATGGCGGAACGGAGAAGTCGGTTGAGAAGGTGGAAAAGGGGGGTTAAGGGGAAGGAGCTTTCAGGGAGGATTGCGGCGGAAACGGAAGTACTTACCTCAGCAGGCTGCCCGCATGAGATCGATAAGTGGGCGGCGGCGAATTTCCACGCACCACGCCGTTCTGGCGATCGCGGTCCAACAGCAAAAGTCTGTGGGAGAAAAGCGGAAGGGATTCGGGTGAGTAGCTGTTGCAGTTGTGTGGCACGACAGGAAAAAGGCGGCCAGCAAAGGGTTAAGGGTGGGAAAATGCGGATGTGGACACTGGCAATAGATACACTGAGAGGCATCTTTTGAAAGGCAGCCAAAGCTTTACATTTGCCAAGTATAATCATAAGACTGCTGCTAATAGCTCTCTTCAGGTTATGTTTATATCATACTTTTAAGAGAACTATAAATGTTAAGATCAAAGTGAAAGTTATGATTCAAATTTAATGAAAAGTAAAATTTTTATTTTTTATGCCAGTCCTGAGTTATTAAAAATTGATGTATTTGTATCCAAAAGCTTAAGAGGAGGACAAGATGTAAAGATTAATGGTGATAATAGTATTAATTTTACAGATTCATAGCTAATAAAAAATATATAGTTTTGCTATGCCTGCATTTTTATATCTTTATGTATTTATTTTAAAAGCTTAAAAAGAGAACATGATGCTAGGATCACTGTTTTTTTTATTTATGATTAAAATAAGATGTGTACCAGAAAGTTTTTAATATCTTCAAAGTTTTACTACTACACCTCAGTGAATACTTTTTTATATACTCTTAAGAGTGATTTGAAAATTTTAAATATTTTTTTGGTCAAACTTAAAAGTGCTCCAGCTTCTCTCAGTGTAGCTACAAATCGCTCTGGCCGCTGCATAATTATGCATAATGCAATTAATTGCGCCAGGACATGCGAGTGGCGGCCAAAAGCCGCAGGTTCGCCACCAACTGCTGTCCTTGCGTGTAATTTATGCACCAGCAGTTCTGGTCCTCCAGAACCCCACAGAACCCATGGAACCCATAGAGTACTCACCTCAGCCGGTACTCCTGCATGCTGGCCTGGTACGAGGGCGGCGGTGGGCGGTGCTGGAACTCCGGATAGAGCAGTCCGTGCGGGGCTCCCCCGCCCCGGCTGCAGGGCCTCCGGCCGCACCGCCCGAGGTCCACGCTGGTGCCCAGGCCGATTCCCAGGCAGCTCTGGCCACCCGGCGCCGTCATCCGCCAGGCGGCGCCACTCACCGTCACCAAAACGACGCCAACTCCTGGAATAGCAACAAAAAAAGGGGGGAGGAGACGCAGTTAATTTCAGAGCTAGAGTTCGGTTAACGCCCCCTTTCCGATTTTCCATTCAACTTTAGAGGCTTTAATTAGCCCACTCCCAACTCCCCAAGGGGCGTGGCCCGCAATTACAGTCCCACTTAAAGCCCCAAATCCGCAGCCTAATCATGCCCAGCCGACAGCCCAACTTTCACTTTTACTCCTGCCGACCAAACGGGCATTCAGTGGAGCATGTCATCATGGCAAATTTGCCAGCTAGGCATACGATTTTATTAGCGAAAATTGTCATGAGCGTTGTGACATCTCCCCACAAAAGCCAAAGACCCCAAAAAGACCTCGCCCATCATCGTGATGACTGCGACGACGATGACGATGATGATGGTGATGGGACTCCACCATGCCATCCACCATTATGTTAGAGCTGTACATAGTTGGAGATTTGCTGACTGGCTGCCTTGATTGCCATTAAATTATGTAAAATGCTGCCGCACATATACTGTGAGTGTGGACTGGAAACTTTTCGGTAATTGCCGCCGAAAATGGCGCAATGTCACGCTTCGCGAGCGCTAAACTAAACGCGCCGGCAATTGATTAGACGTCGCACACACAAAACCGAGACTTTAACTCAAAACTGAAAACCGAAAACCTAAAACCCGGACTGCAGACTACAGACTTTGGAGTTTACGGCAAAGTGAAGCTCTGCACTTGGCCCCGCTTTTAGTGGTTGCGTAATGAATGATTCATGAGTGGCCCCAAAAGTTGTCAGAATTGAATCGATGGCGTTTTAATTCAAGAGAGTTTTCCCGGGAGTTCTACTCGGGTATACCAGAGTACCAAACCCACCTGTGGATCTTGGCCAAAGAAATCGCAGCCGGAACTAAATGCTCTGCCAATATTGACAGCTGTCTTGTCTGGCTGCAAATTTGTTTGTTCTTCGAACTGGGTCAGCAGATGTACAAAGTATCGCACAAAGCCAGCTAGCTACTCAGGTACTCAGGTACACACAGGTATGTAAGTACAAAGGTACTCAAACAGACACTGGGGCACCTCCTCTTTTTCAACGTGGAAAAAGAAAAAACCCAGCACCGAATGGCATTTATAATTGTAACAATTGTGAACAAACACGGGCCTTTTCGCTGGCCAGGGGATTCCCCCATCCTCCCGTGACTTGTGTAAACATCAGCGAACATCAAAAGACGCTCGTCGCCGACTTTAATGCCAATTTCCCTGCTCGATTTTTGCCCGATTACGTAATGGCCTGGCCTGCCCTGCACTCGGAAAATTTAAATGGAACAGCAGTGCCATAAAACTCAGATAAATCACCCTTGAATGTATGTTTAGGATTTAGAAAATACCATTAAAGACAAAGCTGTAACGTCTATTCTTGGACAATAAAAATTATATTTTTGAATATCAATCAAAAATGTTGGAGTAACAACATTGTCGTTCAAATAATAACATTATAGTTATTAGAAAACCAGTACCAAGTATAGTAAGTATAAAAACCCTATTAATCGAAAAAATGTATACTTCTTATTCATGATCCAGGGGCCCAACTATACCAGGTACTACCATCATTCTTCTTGAGGCATTTTGGCTGTAAGCTAGTGTAAAATAATATGAAACTAATATATTGTTCTTCTAAAATTGTTTAATTCTAGAAAATGTGTAAGCCTTTTTATATATAAAATAAAGTATAACATTAAATCTTAATATACCTACTAAAAGGAAATATAACTTTACATTTTTCTTACAAGGCACATCATGTTCTGTAAGTCATATACTATCCCCCAAGAACTCTCTACACATTTTGCCTTATAAATGACTTAAGGTTATGGTATCTCATAAAAGTCTCACTCACCAATCATTAGCAGGGCGGCCGTGAGGTGGGAGTTGGGCGGTCCGGCGAGGCCCGTGGCGCCCAAGGCCGCTCCGCCGAGGGCGCAGGCCACGCCCCCCAGGGCGACGACGGCGATGAGGGCGCGCAGCGGCGGTCCAGCGAACCACTGGCCGCAGCAGCCTTTTCCCGATCTCTCCGAGGGGGATCTGAAAATTGAGCAGAATGGAAAACAGATTTTCAGTAAGGCAGCTGGAAAATGGCAAGGAAAAATGTAGGAAAATGTAGTAGGGGTGGGGGAAAGGGAAAAATGTGCAGCGCAGGTGGGAAGGCGAGGAAAACAGATGCTTTGCTGCGCAGCAAATTGGCAAACGGCAACGTCTCGGGCCAGGTCCTTTTCCTTTATCCCTGCGATTTCACCACACAAAAGCGCAGCGAGTGCGCAATTGTTGTAATTTGATGATTTATGAGGCAAAAGACCAAAAATTTGCGCACTGCCCGCCAACACGAAACAAGCTGAAAGGATCCTTCGCAGGCAATCCTTGGGCATCCTTGGCGGCGAGGCAGGCAGGCGGGCAGGCAGACAGCAGACTAGCAGACGACGTTGAATATTTTTGCCCAGAAAGGACAATTTATGCGATGCAGACGGCGACAAAGGCAAAGGGACGTGTGTGCGTAAATTCATTAGGATACGGCCAGCGTTTTCCACACCCGACAAGACGAACGAACCCTTGCCAAACAATTAGAGGAGGAAATATTTATAGTCTTTGGCGGGGTGGGGTTTTGAGGTGGAAAAGCGTCTGGCGCTCTTTTGTTGCCTGTGTCATCGAAGCCGCTCCACAAAAAGATGATAAATTGTTGGAAAATTACGTGCACAAACATACATCCGTAAACAAGTTGGGCAACCGGAAATTTATGTTTAATAATTTGATGCTGTTCTCGCTGGCAAAGGATTTTTCGTATTTCGTGTATTTCGGATTTACACTTTTATGGCGTGCCATTAAAGAACAGGGTTTCCCCTTCCTGGTCACAGAAAAAAGGGCAGGGTTCATGGCCCCCGGGTCTCTGACACCCGTAATGCGGCGGCATGAATGTTTCATCAGCTGTCGTGTCATGATAAATTTGATCTTTTCAGCTCATCATCGCTCAGTAACTGGGAATTGAGCGCGCAGAAATGCCAAAAGGTGAGCCCAGTCCATCTGAACAATAACCATGTGTAAAGTTTCTAACAACATGCGTTCCCAGGTTCCGAGTTCTTAGATATATCCAAAAACAACCCGAGATTCCCTCTCGTAGATCTCTGCTTAATGCGGCATTTCAATCACGGCCCCATGCGGTGACAAAAAGTTCAACTACAACGATGAATCTTCTCCCCCACCGAGATTGAATGTTCCTAAGCACCAGATGATTGATTAGCTACAAATTAGAGGCGGACCAAATCGGAGAACCGAAACCCATTCCAATTACCATGTGCATTCCCATCTGGGGCCTCATTAAGTCTCATTGCATCGCATGTGAGCAAACACTGCAATTGCGCACTTGTAATATCGTAAATATGAGTATAGTATATGGTATAGTGCATCGTAATACACAGATCAAAATAGCTCTATTGTTTAGGTATATTTATGGGAGTTATCGATATAAATTTAATGAAAAATATTTTCAAAATATAATTATAAACCAGTATTTAAAATATTATCAATTGATATTTTAGTCAATAGACATTTATCATCTAACTCACTCACAAAAAAAGATATGCAAATTTGATATTACTGATATCAAGCTAATATTGATATAGAAGAAACAGATACTGAAACTAATACGAACATGTTAATTATATTTGCAAAGTGAAATTAACATTTTTAAGTATCAAGAGTGAGATATATTTTTTATTATTATATCAAATTGATATTTGATCTTCTTTTTTTCGAGTGCACTAATTAATTACACATTCAGAACTAAGTTTTCCCTCAGTATACTCATATCCACACATATATGTGAGTTGTATTCAAAGTAGTTCAGGGTCAGTTTTCGCTTTATAAGTCTAGCGAAGGCTTAGAAGCCAGTACACTCAACAGCTGACGGACAGTGAGCCAGCTCAGTCTGTCAGTCAGTCATTCAGCCAGTTTGCAGGTCTATCAGCCTGGCACTTATTCAATCAGGCGGCTGCATTTAATTTTCATTTATTAATTGCAGTTTGTAATTACCAACATTGACACAGTTCCATCGGCTGAGCGTATTTATTTATTTATTTTCGCGCCGGCCGCTTACTTATCGCTGAACTTTCATTTCTGCAAAAGTTTCCATTTAAATGGCGTTTCCGTTTCCTTTCCTCTCCTCTCTTCTCTTCTTCTGTCTTCTTCTCTCCTTTCCGGCAGCTGTCAGTTTGACATTTGCATGCGAGTGAACAGTTTCCAATTGATTAAGCAATTTGCAGTGCGTCAAAGACAAAGGCGGCTTTATTAAGATAAAAGTCAGCGGGATTTTTTATCAGGCCAACATCCGTCGACAAGCAACCACCAACAACCAACATCATTGATTCATTCATGTTTTTATGTTGGCTCGTAAAATTGCGGCATTAATTCCGCTCGCACCCGCATGCCAATTAGAAGACGTTGGAGAAGGCCTAATCAAAGTTTAATGGAAACTTAATTTTATTTATCTGGCGAATTCCCCGAGCAGCTCGTGAGAAATCAAACGAAAGCAGTGGAAAACTAATTAAATGCGAACGGCAGACAATGAAAGTGAATTTCGTGTTGAATTTAATTTACATGAATATTTGATAATTTATTTAAGTCATTGAGGCTTTTCTTTTCGCTCTCGCTTAGATTCAGTTTCAATTTCCATTTCATTTTCAGCTTCAGCCTTAGTTTTCCTTTCTTTTCACCTCGACTTATGTAATTAAATGTGGAAAATGAGGCAATCACCGCGGGCGAGGCAAATGAAAATAATTAGCTGGAAAAGCATATTAACATTGGCACATTGGCACACACAAATACACACAGGCTTTTCAGATTTTTTAACCCACTGACAAAGCGAATTTTCGACTGCAGCTGTTGCCGACTGAAGGACGGATTAGGCCACAAAACCCATTTTGAACTTTCAATCACAGAGTTTCGCCCTCTCCCCCCGATTTTCCATCCCGAATGAGGCCATAATTACAGCGCGCTTTTCAACTTTGCCGCAGTTCTGATTTGTAATAGTAACTTTTTTTTCTGTTCCCTCATTGTTTGGCGGGCTTTTGTTGTTTTGGCAAGAAGGGTTTCGGGGCCTGAACTACGAGCTGTGTTAATTTGGGCACGCATTTGGGGGAATTGCTTGTTCTTCTGGCCAAAGTTGGGTGATTTGAGTTCAGCAGATTTGGGCTGCACAGGAAGAAATCTACGAAGAATGTGTCAGATACATTTTATAAATTTCACAAATTAATTTCATAAATGTAATTAAATACCTGAGATGTCTTGCATACTTCTGTATGATTTTTGTGTGTGAGAAACTCTTATAAATCTTTTCTCCTCTTGAGTTTTTCTGAGGTGTTCTATTAAATTCCATGTCACAAAGACGACTGAATAAATGCCCAAACATGCTTCTTTTTTGAAGAGCAGTGTGTGTGTGTGGGTTAAAGAAACATAAATTGAAAACCAGTGGCAATAGAGACTGAGACTGAGACTGAGACTGAGACTCAGAACATGACATTCACCCGGCATTAAAATCGCAGTGGTTTGTTTGCCGCGCACCTATATAAAAATGAAAGCAAACAGCGAGACTCACAGACGGCAATAAAATATCCAAGCCAAAGAGACAAAGTCACGTTGGGTGTATAGTACTCATACTCGAGCTATATAATTGTGTATATATATATACGATTTCACACACAGCCGCAGAAACTTCTGACCTACTAACTGCAGAAGACGGAGAGCGAGTCTCTAAACTTGGGCAACGTTTTTCCAGTTAACTGCAAACGCTTTGACGCTTGACTGATACTGATACTGATGCCGGGGCCCCGAAACAGCCAGCTTTAAACTCAGAGCCACCTTAAAGAGTCCAGCCCAGCTGGGTATCTGTACTTTGCCCTTCTTCTAAGGGGCGTAACTCGAGCACACGACTTTGATAGCTCGCCGAAATGGAGTATCTGCAAGTGGAGTTGTCGGAGGAGTTCTCCTCAGTCGGCCAACTGACAGCTGCACTCCCCCGCTTTCTGGCAGTCCGGGCCAAGTGAGCTCTTAATGCGAGTGTAAAAGATTATATGGCAAAGTTGGCGCTGTCCATTGGCTGCGGATATGGCTGCACTTGGGGAAAAGATCCAATCGAAAATAGAAGACATATAAGAGGTTTTAGACTACCAGCTTATAAGTACTCTACATCGATTCTTTAGTTAGTAAGTTGTATAACATTTTCTGTATTACTTATACTCCGACTTTTAAGTAAGATGGAAAAGGTTAACTACATATGTTATAGAGATTTTTGAGCTATTTCTTGTTCTTTGGTGGGTGGGATATAAAAATAATAAGACAATGTAAAAAGTTCTAGAAAATGTGTTTATGGTACAGAACTTTATATAGATTTTGTAAAGTTATTATAATCTATTGAAAAATTGCATACATTACTACTTATACTAATCGAATTTTTAGTTAAGATGGTCAAAGAAAACAATATTTTTTATAAAGACCTTTAAGTTTTTGCTGGTAAAAAAGACACAAGTCTTTCTCCAAAGAAAGATACACAAACAGATTGCAATCCAGTTTTTATTGACAACATTTTTTATGACCAACCACGTTTTTATAGGTGTCTTTTATCGAAATCACTTGAGTCGCACAGCCGGCAGAAATTTAGAAGACCTTTAAATTTAAAATTCTATAGCAGTTTCATGGAAATTATACCCAGAGTGACAACAATTTTACATTCGGTTGGATGTAAGAGTTTTCTTTCGAGTGCAGCAGTGCAGACAAAGTTTGGGCCAACGTTTATTGCCAATTTTTGAATGCATAAAACGCAAGAGTTGCCAGCAATTGACGCCCACGCATGGGGGCCATCCTCTCCAGGAAATCTGGAATATAGGGCAGCATGCCAAGTGTGTGGCGCAGATATATAAAAACATTAGTCGCCCACCCATATATGAGGGGCATATAAATGGGTTGCTGGCAGGGAACAAGTGCCAAACATCGTGACGACGACAACGACAACTACAACGACAACTGGAGCTGCGTCTCGT